CGTACAGCACGGCCACGGATTCGGGCTATTCGGCCAGTGGGAGTGGCAGTGGAGCTGGCGGGGATCAGTGGTCCTATCAGTACTCATCGACGCGCAGCAGTTTGGGCAGCGTCCTCTCCGACCAGTCGGATGCGATGAGAAAGCTGAGCATGGACTCGGCCTGCTATACGGGATCCTCTCCTTACCTGGACGGATTTGCCAGCGATGGCTGTTTGCAGCGAAGAATCTCGCGCAATTTGCGCACCTCCTTCGAGAACGAGCATTCCAAGAACGATTTTATCGGCTTCCTTAGCGACAATTACGCATTCAATGGCCCAGTGGTGGCATCAGGAGGAGGCGGGGGAGGGGGAGGTGGAGGTGGCAGCGAGGGTGGAGGAATGGCTCCACCGCAATACAGGAGGGCCAGTTACTGTGCGAACGAGTCGCGCAGTAATCCGGAAATGGGCAGGAGGCAGGCCAACCTGCGTCGTCGGGCGAAACTGGGACTGGCCGTATGCATCTCAATGAGCGAGTCTTTCGAGGAGGAGATGGAGCTGTTCTGCAGCGAGCACATCGCCTTGCTGGAATCTATGCTCAGTCGGCTAAGAGCCAGCACGGAACACGCGTACATCAATCACAAGAACTTTCTGCAGGTAAAGATCCCACTAACATATTCGGTTTTCTCTTAAATAAACAGAATTATTTGTTCGATCAACCAGATCATGTTCCAGGCCTGGCAGGATACGCAGCAATGGTTCAGCGATCTCTTCACCGCCCCGCGAATCAAGACGCCCGTCTGGCTAAGCATCACCACGAGCGGGAGCAAGTACTCTAAGACTGTGGCCGAGAGATTCATAAAGGAGCTGTGCGACCTTCTCTCCTTCGCCGACACTAAGGACTCCAATTTGTAAGTTTAACTAGAGCCAAAGGGATAGCTTTAGGGATTATAATGAACAAAGTTACATATATCTAAAATTAAAATTGTTTTTCCCTACAGTTTCATTAGCACCATGCTGACAGGGATCCTCACTCATCACCTGGGCTGGGTGGCCACCGTCTCGGCCTTTAATAGCGCTGGCTCGCGGCGATCAGAGTCCTCCGCCTCGGCGGCAGCTATCGAACAGCGCGCAAAATTGCTTCAAGTAGCTCAGAAGCATCCGTACAATGCGCTGTGGGCGCAGTTGGGCGACCTTTATGGGGCCATCGGCATGCCGCCCAAGCTGGCGCGCACCATTGTCTGTGGAGCGGAGAAGCTATGGGTGGAGAAGCTGTTGAACGTGCTCACCTACTTCATCCGCTGCAGCGAGGTGCGACGAGCGGCCAAGCGAGAGGACTTCAACAAGCAGCTAATCAACGACTTGGTCGCGCAGAGCCAGACCCAAAATCAGACGAGTAACCAGGAGCGACACAAGAGTCCACCGACACAAATGCGCGGACTGAGCAGGACAGCCACCTGCAAGCAGAATCTAAATGCCATTGCTGATGATGGGGACGATGAGAATGGCGAACTGAATGGCTATTGTGAGGAGAACGAGGATGAGGAGCAGGATGAGATCGACTCTGGATCCATGGATGCCAGCGATGGGATGCAGACGCTGAAGAAAAACGAAATTCCCACGGTGCTGGCTTTCCGGGACTCGCACTTTGTGCAGCAGGAGCTGCGTATCGGCAACTATCTGATGGACACGGGCATTGACAAGAAGACTCTGCTGGCCCGGCAAGCACAGCAGTACTTTCGCACTGGCAAGGACGGCCGGATCCGTTTGACAGTGACCACGCCAGACAACGTAGAGCTGTGCGTAGAGGATGAGCAGTCGAGCGGCACTGGCTCTGTAAGCACTGGTTCCGTTGACGACGGTGCCATCGAGGCCATCGAATATGAAGACAACATGGAAGCTCCGCCTAAGAAAAATTTCTTTTGGAACATGGTGCCGGTAGCGGGCGTAAAGGAGGGTCTGAGTCTCAGCGATTTGGCCAAGCTGCAGCAAGGCATTCGTATCATCAATCGCAAGTTGGAGCGCCGCAGCAGCAGCTACTCCGTAGAGGGAATTCCCGACCAGCAGCAGAGCAAGACGGGAGGTGGAATCGGAGCAGGTGATTTTGAGCCCCTTAGCCACGAGAGACGCGCCTCGCATTTGTCCCTCTCGGATCTTATCACGCAAAACAGCATGGGCAAGAGCGATCGCATGACCTGGGGCATCGAGCCCATCAAGGAGAACGTGAGCCTGGAGGAGCAGATCCACTTTGATCACTGCCACAAGCTGATCGAGCGAGAGCACGGCATCTGCCGACAAACATCGGCGGATAATGGCAACGGTGTTGTCTTTGTCCTGGGCGACAATGAGCCGCTGATTAACTTAAAGAAGAGCAACGAGGATCTGAGCGGAGATAATGATGCCAAGCCCGCACTGATGCTGTGTGCGCAGCATCAGCGCACCCACGATAGAAGTAAGCACTCGGGCATGAAATTCAACTTTGAGCAGTATCCTCAGATTGCCACCAACTACATGAAGAGCAAGAATCTGCTGATGTCCAACTATGATCTGCTGATGGACAAGGCCACCAAGCTGGAGGCCAGTGAGGCGGCTGCACTCAAGGGCAGCGATAGCACGGCAACGCTGGCAGCCAGCAGTAGCTCCACGGCCGCTCTGCCTCCGCCCGCAACTCCCGTGGCTGCGAATAGCGAACGGTGTGTGGTGTGCAGCAGTGGCGTTGGACTTAACGCCTCGGCCACTTGGAACCAGACGCCCTCCAACGCCACCGAGCTGGAGTTTGAGACCGATGAGATGCACTGCTATAATCAGAGTGGAAACGGTAATGGATCCAGCTCCAAGGCCCTGCAGTCTGTGAACTCTGCCGCCTCCATAGACACCCTTAAGTCAGCAGTTTCCATTGAGCCACTAAATACAACGATCCCCACTCAAATGCCGACCACATACATGCGCAAACAGCAGCCCAAGCGAGTGCCCTCCGGACGTAGTTCCGTCTCCTCGGTGGCCGCCAAGTGTGCGGCGGTCAATGTGACCCAGCAGCTGCTGAAGTTGCCAGTTCCCGGTGTCAAGGAGTTGCCGCAGGACGACGACTCCCCGGGCGAACAGCTGCGGGCCGGCTTTATTCCTTCGCTTCTTCTGAGCGTCAGCGATCACTACGTTTCCGACATGGTATTACAGGTTGGTGTTTTGTTTACTCTATGTTGCTTTCTTTCTCTTATTTTTATTCAAAACGTTAAACTAAATACTTATGGAAAACCAAAAATGGCTTCAAATGATACTGATTACATTTTCTATCATTAATTTCTTAGGGCACTTGTGCACCGCCCAATAAATGGGAGATGCATCTGCGCGAGGATCTGGCATTGGCAGCGCGTTCCGCTTCACTAATCTCACAGCCGGCGGAGAACATAGCCATCGTAGCGGACATGGACAAGTGGGATGTACGGCTCATCTCTTCACAGACGCAGCAGTTTCCTTACGCCGGCGGACAGAGCTCGCCGGTGGGCATGTCCCAACTGGTGTCCAGCATGCTGGAAACAGTCCAGGCTATGCATGTAGGCGGAATACCCGCCTATGAGGTAAATACTCTTAAATGTTGTTTATTTAGTCTTTGTTAATATGTGATTGCTTCATTTTTAGTGCCTGTCGTTTCTGGAGTCAAAGTTGCAGGAAATCTATCTGCAATCGGAAACTCTGGCAGCCTTCCTGTTGGAAACAGATCCGTGCCGACTGAGCGACATTACCAATCCGCTGCAGCTCTCCGAAAACGATGTGCCGCTGCTGCTGTCCATCGCCTATATCCACACGCCCAAGATCAGCCGCAAGTGCGGCATCAGCTTCAGGTGACAGGCCGTCTGCGTCTGTTGAGCCAGGACATTGCTAAACATTCTAGCAAGCAACGATTCAGCAAGCTCTTCTCATGCATCATCCAAAGCAAAACAAGCAAATACTCCAGCGAATTTTAATTTCACTGATTTTGTGATATATTTATACGTGTATGAATCTAGCGCTTAAAAGCAGGGTACGTTAGTGAGCCATAGCTTAGCCTTAGCCCTCGAACCCAACCGATCCGATCTGGTCAGAAAAGATCGGTCTCATACTATTTTAATCGCCCGGTGTAAACGGGTCGTTCATCGAAATTTACCACATCCACTCATCGCGGTCACATGAAGAAGTATTGTAAATTATCTGGGTTAGAATTAGCCGGGCCAGATTGCGTTGGCGATGGCGCTGACGATGTTAATGAAGACTCCGGCTTAGCACCACACTTGAAACCCTCTGCTATCGGATCGATCGATCGCCAAAACATATCTTGCCCCGCCCCAAACTTTTGTAGTGCTTGATTTAGATTTAATAATTTATGACAGCAGTAATATAATCGTAGAATTAATTGTATAACTTTACAATACCATAGGGATGGAGTGCAGCTACTAAACTAATATATTATGCATTCGAGAAAACAACTAAAACCACAAATAAATAAAATCAAAATATGTTTATATTTTTGATCGAAAGAATATACAACAATTTTTAAATGAAAACTTGTTAATTTTTATTCAATAATATCGAAAATAATGTTGCATTTCCATTATAAGTTATTGACACTGTCATGACAAATAATTAGTATAACAAATTTAGATGTATACTTTTGGGAGCTAGTTTTACTCGTAGAACTGGAAAATAGTCGGTTTTCGGTGAGTTTTTTTGCCCTGTTTTCATTTGAGATCTCGTTTTTAACTAAATCTATATAAAACCGTTCAGACCATATAATTTATTTGGCATAATCAACTAAATTTTTTGAATCCAAGGATTGGTGTTATTTTTTTACCATTAGAGTTTAGCAATTCAATTCATTAAAAAAAACTTAAAATTAACTAAGCAAAATAATACGAGCGCCTGTTTTGTTTGTATTTATTTTATCTCCGATTTGATTGATTTTTATATTTGGGCTGACTTTTGTTCACCTATTTAACACGAAAAATTTTCCTATTGTTCTGACGTTTGGATTATTAATTGAGTACACCCTTATTTTTTGGTTGATTTGTTTTATTTTCTTTGTTTATTAATAATTCGCTTAAACATACATAAAGGGGTATACATAAATACAATAACTCGCTATTGCTTACTCGGTAGGGAAAGACATTTTTTTAAGATTCCCAATTTATCAGCATTAACATCGATTTAAATAATTATCACATTTCCTACAGTGTACAGCTATTTATGGTAGTTCACTTAAGAGTGTTTTCGGACTATGGAGTTGGCGTTGCTTGCTTGCTCAGCATAAAACTCGACCTCTAGGAGGGGCTAGAGCTCTGGTGGACCCGGCGATCGGGTCACTTGGCCTTCTGCGACTCCAGGTAAGTGGCCGTGAAGGTGAGCAGGCGGTGCCGCTGCTTCAGGTTGCGAGCCCGGACGTGGGCCGAGTTGAGCTCCTCGGTGTAGCTTCCGGGAAACCAGCCGACGGCGCCATCTCGTATTCTTTCGCCCTGGTACCAGCCTGAAAAGTGAAAGATGGGATAAAAGGGCATAAGATAAACATATATTTTAATAATTCACCGTCACTCACCATCAGGCAGCTTTCGCGAAACATTGACGACGTCGCCCAGTTCCAGTTGGAGGACGTCAGGCTCGTCGATCTCGTAGCTGTGCTTGGCCACCACCTGAGGACAGTCCCAGGACTCGTAGAGCTTCTCGCCGGGCGTCTCCGCCTCGGGCGGTCGCATGGCCTGCAGCCAACGCTGTTGATCAGACACTGAGGGACAGGACAGGACCTGCAGGATCAGGGGAATTAGCTGTCGCTTTAAAAGAGGATCGAAATAACATACCAACTCGACGGTCTTGCGTTCGCTGTTCTCGAGCAGCGTCATCAGGATGAGGTTCTTGCCGGCCTGGTCCTTGAGGTCCTTGGTGGGCAACTGGGGCAGCGAGTCACCGGCAGCGAGGGTCAGCATGCTCCTGGGGCAATAGTCTAGGACGCTAAAGCTGGACTCCCCGCGCCGCTTGCACAGCAAAAGGAGATCCGAGAAGAGGAAGGCGTAGATGCTGGCCTTGGTCAGGCGCTTGCCGAAGGTCAGCTTGGCGTCCTCGCCGCGCCACACCAGGTGGGTCAGCTCGCCCCGCTTGACCAGGAATCGTGGCTTGGCGCCCGCCCGCGGCACTCCCACCGGGGCAATGGCTAAGGCCCGCACATGGGCGGGGAATTCCAACTGGCTGGCAATCCGCTCCAGCTCGAAGGCCTGTTCCCAACGATTGGCCGCCTCGTTGCACTGGCCAACTATTTTCTGGACGAGAGCCAGCGTCAGCTTCCATCCCTCGTACTCCTCGCGATTCAGCGGTGACTCCTTGCTGAACACTGCGTCGATCAGGAGCGGCAGGCGGGTGATCCTTTGCATGGGCAGCATCAGGAACGAGTGCAGGTTGAGACCACAGCAGCTGGAATTCGCTTCCAGGCGCTCCAGGTGCTGCTGGAAGGCCAGAGACTCCTTGGACTCCTTAAGGCGGCGTAGTGCCCTGTCCATCCTGCCCTGGTGTTCACAGAAGGCCACGTAGACGTGGAAATGCCGCTCGGCGATCTCGTAGATGCAGCGACTCAGTCCAAGCAGCATGATGTTGTCCTGCCAGCAGGCCTCCAGTTCAGTCAGCAGCCGCTCCGAGCACTCGTGCACGGGCACGATGTAGGAGAAGAGTGCCTTCCGGTCCTTGGCACTCAGTACGGATGTGTCCACAAAGGCGCTGTGGTTCATGAAGTGCCGCCGCAGCAGGTTCAGCGACTTGAGGTAACTGGCCTCCGACGTGATGATCTCGAACTTGGCTTCCTGCAGACTGCGTTCCCGACTGGTCAGAGTGGCTGGAATACAAGCGGTTAAGTTATTACTTATTTTGAGTTTCTCAATTTGAAATTCGTGTTCATATGTACATTACTAACTATAAAATCGGATGTCTAAAAAAAAAATGTATGGACAGTGCAGGTTTTTCGTCACTTTTCGTCAAAGACATTTTTCGAAAATTTGAACAGGGGGAACATCGTAAAAATGAAGAAAAATCGACTCCAAAATACAAATTAAGTTAAGTGCACAGATTTTTAGGGAATTAAACCACGATCATTTAGAAGTAAGCCACTTTAAAATCGGATGTCTGTAAGAAAAGTTATGTGCTTAAAAGTGCAGGTTTTAGGTCACTTTTCTGCAAAGCGAATTTTTTGAAAATTTGTAAAAATTACGAAAAATTGACCTTAAAATACAAATGAAGTTGAATACACATTTTTTTTAGAGAATTAAACCACGATCATTTAGAAGTAAGCCACTTCGAAATCGGTTGCCTTTAAGAAAAGTTCTGGGCTTAGAAGTGTAGGTTTTTGGTCACTTTTCTGCAAAGCCAATTTTCAAAAATTTGGAAAGGGGTTTTCGTGGTGATCGTTAATGGCTAATCTAACAGCCTTTATATAATTATAATAATAATTTAGCGATATACTTACGCAGTATGCAAGAGTGTATGACCTCGGGAATCTCGCTCCAAAGAGTGCGCGACGGTCCGTTCTTGGGCTCCACCAGCTGGAGGGCGGTGGGGCGAGTCTTGGCCAGCGGCTCCGGCTTCGCCTTGGCGTGCTGGCCGATCTCCTCGTAGCCATCCGAGGATCCATGCGCCTCCAGGTCGCGGGTGATCGACTGGAAGCGGAAGAAAATAACACAAATTATACATCAATGTACACTTGCATTGTTGGATGACCCACTCACCTCCAATTTGGCGGCGCTGTACATTTGGTAGAGCGGTTCGTTGGAGAAAAGACTGTGTGGCTCCGAGGACAGCTCGTCGCCCAATCCCGCTTCGTTGCCGGTGGAGACGCCGGAGCTGCCACTGGAGCTGGCTACGGAAATGCCGCTGGTCTGGTAGAGACCCGATTCCGCATACCAGGAGCTAACGCCGCCATGACCGCTGGGCGTGGGGGTGACCGGTTCATCGCCCACCCTCGCCGATCCCGTTGCATTGGGGGCCTGCTTAAAGACGCCGCATTCGGCATACCACGAGGGGGTCTCTCCAGACTCTAGTCCCCGTTCCGTATCCGTTGGCGATTTGCTGCCGGCTAATGGCGGTGGAGGCGGTGGTGGCGGTGGATCATGGGGTCTCAGTCCGATGGTGGTGCGACGCCTGCTGGCTTTCACCTCCTTCTTGGCCTTGCGAGCCACCGTGGAGAACTTCTGCGACTCCGCCGTGGGGGTACAGTGTTTCTCGGAGAAGCCCGAGTCCAGTTCCCCGGACCCGTGCATCTCCGGCTCCAATGGCAGGGCTGGCAGTGATCCCTCGGGGTCCTCCACGTAGAAGGTGCTCCGTGTCGCCGCCAGCGAGGATAGCTGCTTGGTATCGAAGCTGGAGCCGACCAGACTCTTGCGCAGACGGGAGCGAAGGCTCTTGGCGTTCTTCTGCTTGGCCCTCAGCACGGGAGCCGTCTCCTGGTGGCCCGTGGGTGCAGGACTCCGTTCCGGTCCGTACTCTGTGTTCTCGTACACCTCCTCCGTCCGTTTGGCGCTCTCCACGTAGAACTGCGTGGCCGCCGGGGTATTCTCGTACAGCTTCTGCTGGCTACCCTTTGGAGATTTCTTGCTGGAGATAAAGTCTCGGAATTTGCGAACAAACTCGTACACCTGGTTTGGCGGAGGAGGTGGTTTCGGTAGGCGGTGGTTGCGCATGTCCACGCCGCTGTCGTTGTGCTGCAAATTTAAGGAGAGATATTTAAGGTGAATCTATTGGAGTTAGATCATCCACTTACGTTTCGTAGCCGCTGGTTGGGCTCACCATCGCCATGATCGTCGCTGTCCGACTCGAAGGAGTCGTAGTCAGCCGAGATGACCACGTGCTCGCCCAGCGTGTGGGCGGATGCCGTGTGGTTCTTGCTCCGGCGGTGCGAGGAGCGCATCCCACCGTTGCCACTCGTATTCTGGCCGTGGCGCACTAGTTGCGTCGAATGGCGCTTGTTTCCGAGTGGCGACAGCGTCTCGTAATAGTGGTCTGAGTCATCTGTGCGGAAAAAGAGAAATAAACATTTAGTTTTTAGTTACTTAGTTCTTACTTGCTATGCAATTGTTTGATAAGTATATGCAAAAATTCAATTTAAAATTTCATTCATTGTCGTATATATTCAATTGTCGCTAACGTTCTTCACACACTTCTTTTACAAATAATATGTATATATTGTTTTCAAAAAATATTCATAATGAGTATTATTTAGAAAAAAATGCTGTTAAAAACCAATTATTTAATAACCAAATTATTGATTGGTCTATAAACATTACATAAAAAAAATTAATAAATCTTAACAAGATTATTGATAATTTAAATTTGTTGATTTTTAAAATTTGAAAATCATTCCTAAAACAAAGAATATTTAACTTTAGAATTTAACTTTAACTTTATCTTATTTGAATAAATATTAAAATTGTTGGATTTTTTTTCCTCCAATTTATTTAATAAATTAAATACACAATTTTTGGTACCAGGACGAACCTACGAAAGTGCTCACTGTCATGGTGACCTTTACGGGTTTTTCGCCCCCCTCCCCGTTGGTCGTAACCCGCATGGAGGTCAGTAGCTGGGCCCGCTGGTGGGCGTGGCTGCAACGCTGGCTAATGGCCGCTGCCTCGTTTTGGTAAATCGGTTCGGGAGCGGGTCGCACGGGTTCGGCGGATACGGGTCCGTTGAGATAGACGCTGCTGGAGTTGGCCTGGCAAGTGACCCCCACCTCGCCGGCGGCTCGAGGTCGCCGCTTGCGGGGCAAGGTCACCGGATCGGCGGGACCGCTGCTGCTCAGACTGCCTGAGCAGCTGAGGCGCTGGCCATTGCTGCGATTTATCGCCGACATCTTTTCACATCTTTGGAATCAGCAGCCTGTCAACGGATTGAATGATTCACTCAGTTGGACAAAAACTCCTGCACTCAAAAACTATTGATTTTTTTATAACTTTAGAAAATTGCCCCAAAGGTTATTCTTTCTTGATTAACGAACGTTTTAATTAACATGAGTGTATTTATAGCACATTATTAAGAGTGTTTCTCTAAACTGATTATGCTTTTCCTTTAATTAAGAATTTAATAATTTACGAGTAAATAATCAGATTTATTTTTGAGTGAGGATATTTTATTCTTTTGACTTTTCAATGTAAAATAACTATATTAAATGTTGAAGTTGTTGCTGCTCAAGTAATATTTGTACTAAAGTTTGTTTGGTACTGTAATTTGGCTGTTTTTTTGAGTGTGGAGCTTCAGCTTTAGCATTCTGAACTCTGTTCTTAGGAGACTGCACTCAATTGAAAGCAATTAAAGCTGCTGCAGCAATTGTCTGCCCTTTTTTGATTGACCAAACCAGCCCACTGTCCGATATGCTAATTAAACCGACTTTTCAAGTGTCACAACAATAAAGCTGCTGGCCATATAAAGCGTACGGAATGAAAACGCGTATGTGGCGAGGTCTTTACTAAACTAAACTAAAATAAAAGCAAACACCTAAAGCCAGGGCATGCAAAATAGCGCAAATTATAATGGAATCATGGTTGAATGCAGACAGTCTCTGTGGATACAATGCCGAGTGATTAACAGACATGGCTGAAAAATCAAACACCATGATGTGGCAGGTGCCGTACATCAACTACTCTGAAACCTAACGAATTTAGCAATTTTCAAACGAATTTCAAGCACTTTTTCATGGGGTAGAGAACAACTTTGCAGCCAACCCATGTGTGAATTTAGAAAATTCTAGCCGGATTCGAGCACAAAGTGCTTAGACTAGATACTATCTGTTCGCATATTACGTATACGTAATAAGTAGACGAAGAGGCAGGCAAGCGCAGCGAATGCTAACCGGTTCGAGAGCGTCAATAAAACCAAGCACCAAGCTCTGCAAGCTGAACATGAATATGATTTTATACAGATATGCCGCTTATGAACATGTACGTAGGCACAGTCGCGGTCATAATAATAGCACTAGAACAAACTTTGAATTAAACAGAATATTGGGTTTTTAAAAGAAACCCTAACCATTTTTTCAAATTTTGTACAATTAAACAATATAGCTTCTATATTTTTTAAGTAGCTATACCATTTGGACTTATAGGTTTCTTTTGCAGCTGAGGATGCGGTAAAATAAGCACATTTTTTATACCTACTTGTTTATATCTTGGCATTATGTTACATTAAGGCTCATAATATTAATCTCAAAACATAACTACGATTTTAGATCTACAAACCTGGCCGCAACTGTTTGTATTTACGTGTAGATACTTTAAACAAAACGAGATACTTTTTGACGGCGACACTTGTTGCGCGTGGGCCGTTGAAAATATTGGAGTTTTGTTCAAAATAAGGAGCTGAGATTCTGGCCAGCGCCATGATACCAAAGTTACCGGTTTTTGATTATGGCTCACGGGTACGAGTGTGTATTCTCTGGTGAAATTCTGCGAATTTAGGCTTTTTGTTGGTGCGTGTAAAGTGAATGTTGAAATCGTACCGCGACGATGCCAATACGGAAATGGTTTATTTCATTAGCCGTCTCATCGCCTTAGCGTGAGACTTAAACAAAGAAACTGAAGAAAAATATGGTCTAGCGATATGATACCATTATAAACAAAGGATTGCGCAGACTTGCGTACATATGTAACATATAATTGCTTGTATACGAAGATGATCTTTTGTTTATTGGAATGCAGCAAGTGCAAGGCCGGCAGTTTGACGATCTCTTGCTGTTTCTATCCGCTGTTCACGCATAAACAATTAACAAATAACACTGCAATGCAGCTGGAAAAATCCAGTTGATCAACAGATCGAACGGTTGATTGATCGCCTGACGCATTAAGGTTAAGATTATTAAGTGCCAAACGATGTCATTGTCTTCGACTCCGCTCTTGGTCACGTAGAAAACGGATAATAGCTGATAGGAACGACGATCAGAGTCAGAAAATTGCTTTTACAGATATGTTTGGATTGCTTCATACTTTAAATGACTTTATTTCAGTTGGTAATTATTCTTCATTTCATTTTACATATATTTTTACGCCTTTCTCGACTTTAAATGCTCATTCTTTCCGCAATTATTCTTGCACATGCCACATTATAGACACATAAGCAAATATTTTATTGCGTTTTCAGTTCAATTTAAAAAATTTGTTTGGGTTGCTTTTGAAGCCAGTATTTCTTTTATTTGTTTCACCACAAATTTAACTTTAAGGTACAAAAATATTTAAAATTTTCCCTTAAGATAAATTTACCCTTATTATGAATATGGGAAAAAAAAGAATACTTTTACTTTTTGTAGACAAACAAAAAAAACTTTCTAGTTGTATAGTTATAAGAAAAAATGTCTGATGGTAATTTGTATAAATATGTCCGTAATTTACGCATTACCATTGTAATTTAGATGAAATTATGTTTACTTAAAGATTCCGGTAAGATTGCCAGTCATCTAATTGGAAGTGTTAATTCATTTTAAAGATCAAACAATTGAGTCATAACTTGCTAAAGTCGGCGAGTGACAATTTGTCGAAATATTATGCAATTGAGTTTGCACATGTGTTCTATAAAGTATTGTTATTAATACAATTTAGTTGAAATTCTAAGGAAAATGTTTTTTATGTCTCGTTTGCGACAATTTTCATCGTATCGACAACTAGTCATCAATTAAAAAAGTTTATTATTTGAAGACTCTTTAAAAGTGCCTATACGCAATTTATAAGATTGATAAGTAATACATTTAAGAAAAATAATATATATTTAACTTGTATTTCTACTATTTGCTACATGTTTTTATACCTTTTTCATTCATTACATTACACAGAGAGAGCCCTGTACTACAACTAGTCATCTAATTGAAAAAGTGCATTCAATTTGGAGATCCCCCAATTGAGTGAGATCTTCCTGCATGCGAGACAGCCTCATAAATTTTCATAGCTGCGACCGACTCTGGCTTTGGTCTGAATTTTCACGACACTTTCGCCGCGGGCGTTGCGTGTCAGCGTAACGAGCCAAAGTTGAACGTGCCGCGGGTAAAAGTTAAAAGTTAAGCTGAGAATTTCCATTTAGCTGGCTGAGCCTAAGCATTGCCGGTTTGCGGGCTTGGGTTTCACCCATGAAACATGAAGCAATTACAAGATATTTTCCAATTGCCAAGTGGAGTTGCGTTCGCTGAACTCACTTTTTGGGAGAGAGGGGAGCGGTTGAAAAAGATTATTGCATTTTTACGCAAAGCCTTTTTTGTGCGCAGCACTGAACGAATTTTAGTATATTGGTAAAAGTTCAACGCTAAATTTGTTGCATCATTCAAAACACAAATGAATCAAAATTTAAACAAGAGTTCCCATTGGCAATGAGTGTTGGGTGACACGAAGATTAATATTCATTCTGACCCATTAAATATTCATAGAAAATAATTAATTATATTGTACTGAAAAAATATGGAACCTAGTACAAAATTCGAGTAAAAACAAAATACATATTTTTTTAGCCTTTTTTACATAGTTTGAAGAGGGCTTCGGTCATGAATAGGTTTCTGTGTATGAGCATATTCACTGAATTTCGAGTTCGAATTCGCACTCTAGTTCGCATTGCACATTGCACACCACCTTTTTGCAATAGTTGCCCATTATGACTTGTTTTTTAATGCAAAAGTCATCGCCGTATTTGGGGATTTGCGATTCCTTTGGCCAATAGTTTGTTGAACGGTTATCTCTCGGTTTTTTCCCTTGTTTCGCTTTGTGTTTCTTTAAGACTTCTTCAAGGTTGCTTGGGTTGGCTTGAGTTTTATATTTCTAGACTGGTTTTCGTTTTCGCTAAACAATTTCGTCATCGCCAGCTAAGGCAACAAATAAAATATGGCAAAAAAACAACAAAATAGAAGTGGATGATCACGAAGGGGGCGGTGTAAGGGCAGAAACAACAATAAGTCGGCAACGGTTTCAGTTCGTGACGTCTCCAAAAGCAGCAGCAACAACTACAACACACACATAATAAAAACTTGTAATGCAAAACTGCAATAAGCTCTCTCTGTCTTTCTCTTTTTCCCTTTGTCTCTGAGAGCTACCTAAATTTAAGATGCAATTCATGCTGTCATTTTTTCTCAGTTTAACACTAGAGCAACATTATTAATTATCCACTGGTATTCACATTTATTACACGAATTCTTTCGCGTATTTATTTATTCCGGAGACCCGTTTTATTCAGCGGACCGTCCGTCGGAGTTGAGCGCGTTGGAACGAATGAGAGGCGGAGATGCCAGTCGAGAGCAGCAATGCTCCAACATTGGAAGCAACAGCAACAACTGCACACTGCGTCCAGTTTATGGGCATTGTACACTGCGAGAATGCAATGATTTCATTTCGGTTTTATCCCAAGACTAATATTTTAAAACATTTAATTTTTCAGTTACATATTTACAACATTTTTAGCTTTGCAATAAGTAAAATTTTTTAAACAATTTTTATAGATTTAAACTCAACATGTTGTTGCTAACTAAATCTTTTTAACGGTTTTATATAATCAAATTCAGAACTAAAGAATTCAATGTTGTTGTATATACTACATTATTACTCATACGACATGTTGCATTTTCTTAATGCCAATGACTACGTAAAGATACTACTGTACTTTCTTAATAGTTTAGTTGAAGCCATAAAAATACAATTTTTTTTTATGGTTCCAAATTTCACGAAAATATAAGTTAAAAAACGATGTATACTTATAGTTTTAAATAATTCAATAAATTGTGCATATATGCTTTGTTTTCTTTTATTTAAAAATATAAAATATAAATATAAAATGAAATGTCAAAAAAACCCTGAAGTTTACTTAAGCTCTGTTCATGATATATACCAAATAAAATAAAAGCTATTTCTGTTAACATAGCACAAACATTAGATCCACTAGGAACAGATTATGGATCCACTAGGAACAGATTATGGTTACGCATAACAGAATTATTGTTACAGGCTGCTTATTAACATCTGTTAGGACTGTAACTTACAGTGAAATGGCAACGCCCGGATGGGGAGGCTGGCAACGCCGGGATTGGGAGGGTCGTCTTGAGGGTCTGATTTCGGGTCGGGAGGGTTGGGAGCGTTTCCTACGCTTTTCTGAGGGTCTCCCAGGGTCGTGGAGGGTGTGGGGGAGCGAGGCGCAACTTTTGGGGGGTCTCACGTTGGGGGCCGAGTTCGGAAAACTGAGAAATTGGGGAAAAACCGGTAAAGTTCAGTTTGACGGTCTGGCAGCACTGTATTTTGCACATGGGTAACACACGCGACGGGAAAACTGGTGTATTCGATCACTTTCCACGGAAAACTGATCGCGGCGACCTGCCCCCACCCTCGGCTCCCGTCGACGTCACTTTTTCTCGCGGAAAATGCGGCGGAACGGAGAATTTCGCGACACACAGATTTCAGGTCCAGGCAGTGTGACCACCTTTGGGTTTAACGCAAATATAGGCGCTTTCTGGCCACTTTCGCATGGCGTTACGGGACATTCTCCGTTTTCTCCAAGGTGGTCATACAGTTTTAGCGCCGTTGTTCAAACTTTTTAAGTGACAATACTTGCGATTTTATATAATGGACCTTTTCAGGCTAAAATTCTTTGCAATGCCGCACCTGCGCGCCCAGGTGGAAAAGCACCTCCCACAGGTGGATGATCCGCTCCGGCCAAGCTTCACATTTGGCATTTGCTTTCGGGGAACCCAGACACCGCTTGGGGCAATGTTTTGACTAGAGCACATCCAATTATGCGTATTCATCGAAGGCAAAATGATTAAGTGGCCTCAACTTGTGGCAATTAACCAGTTGGTAATTATCAGTTTGGAGTGAATTTACAGATGTGGATGCCAAGTGTGGATGGTGAAGCTTAGCGCGGACACGAACCAGGCATAAAAGCTTAGGTAAGCCGGAATAAAAAGCTTAGCTTAGTTGCTGTTAGCTTTAAGGGGAATCCCCTCTATTAAACTAGAACAGTTTTTGAATAATGGTTTGTAAAATTGTGATTGCCTCTTTAAATTTGTTAAAAATACTTATAATATGAAAAGTTTTACATTGGTATTTTTTAATTATTCCGCATATTTTACATTATAATTCTTATAATTCTTTGTTCATAATAATTTTCGTTCCATTTTAATAAACCTTTCTGTTATAATTTCTATGTTCAGCTAATTTAGTAGTACCATACATATAAATTGAAGTTTCTAACAATTTGATTTTAAATGCTGTTTAAAGTGATGAGTTTTTAAATCAACAAAATGTTAATATTAGAATATACTAAGTATAAAAGTTCGGCAGTAACAATGTGAAAATAGTTAAAAGCTTTACAAAATGAAAGTACTAGATTTGGATAAAAATTTCTTTAGATTTCCCGCACCAATAAATACGGAATTCGTCCTGCAATGCAGACCACCCAAGTTTAAAGGTCATGGATTACACACGCCATAATTTGTTCCAAGTCCACAGTGAGCACTTTCTTTCGTTCCTTCACTTATAAACTTAAGTCCACTTATTTATTTCCTTTTCTTTACTTACCCTCTATGCAGCTTATCGCCTTCTTTTGTTGCAGTCTTTTATCTCTGATGCGTTTCGACCAATCTGGACTCCGGGTGCGATGCGGCTTAAACCTTTCCCGTACACTGAAATTAAGCAAGGTCAGAATGATTACAAAAATAAAACAGAACAGCACTGAATTTTCCTAAAATAGTTTTTGCTAAGTACTTCATAATTCCACAAACAATCGATCAAACTAATTCCCTACAACTGATCTCCGTTGGAGTTCCAACAATTGACTGGTTTGAGTATATAGATTGCTTCTTGGCTCCCAGCATTTCTAGGGTTTCCCTCGAGAGGCCCGCCAATCTTATCGACTGATAACAGAAGAAATTGTGGGTCAGCGCTCTAATTAATGGTACCCCCAGTTTTGAAGTAGTTTCAATCACCCTTCGAGTGTTGCAACTTCAAAATTAACTCTGACAAAATGGAACACAGCGTGACATTGTACTAATTAACAGCTAACAATAAGTTTTGGGAGTGACAATTATAAGTGTATCGGAAGAACTATTAAATGATCGTTAAATGGCTCTTGAAGCTCTCAATTATTATAAATTGTCTCATAGTTTGTATTGTTGTATAACAACAGAGATAAGCTGAGTTAATGTGGCTCACTACTTTCTAACTAAAATACATTATATTTATAATATAGTGTGGGTTAATTAAGCAACGTCATTTATTTGGTTTTCATTACGCGGTAGAACAAACTGAGTTGTCTTGCTTACTTTTAAATGAGATTATTCAAATACAATAATAAGACCGTGACTAAATGTGGACTTTTTGTTGATAAGGGATATATATTATTTAAGTAAAACGAATCTATAAAACACATTATTGCTTTTATTTAAGTCTCCAGCATTATATAATACAAAGTTAAAGGTCTAAGAGCCCCCAATCACCTTGACCTGGATTCAAACTAGCTGGAAATAAGTTATTTATATATTATAGCAATGGTGCAACTCAAAATGCACCATTTATTGGAAGCAAACAACATTTTAGACGGTAGAAACCCCTGCGACTGCCTGTCTTTAGCCAGCCGATTAGATAAGACCAACCCAAACAAACTGATAAGCAATCTACGCAGAATTTGTATAACCCAGCTGTATGCCGTTCCATTTTTTTTTGCTGGCAATCGTTTCTGTTGCACAGGGAAATGAATAAATAACAATAAAATTACGATATTGTCTCGTCGATTTGTACAATTTGTACTTGTGCCATTATTCATATAAACAGACTTGCGACTTGCGCTTTTAAATGCTTATTTATTTGTATTTTATAATTATTCGTTTACCTGAAAATTCATGTTGCATTTTATTGCATTTAAAAAGAATATATGTTTAGAAAATGACTAAATATTTGATTTTCTACAAATGTTTTTTGTTTTTATATGATTCATCAAAGCCAGTGATTCGTGTTTTTATATTTAAAAAAAAAATATAAATCCCTATGAGCGATTCAAATTCTATAATTAATCTTTTTTGAACAGTCAAACCTTTTTTTTTTTAGAAATTCCAATTTGGAATGAAACAAATATTTAAATAATCTAATATTCAGAGGGTACTTACACAATGAACTGGGCTTCGTTGGCCGCCGCCTCCATTGTCGCCTGACCGATCTCCCCATCCGAGATGTCCACCCAGGCGTCGCTGTTGTCACTGGAGCCCGCTATCGAGGATCGCTTGTCGCCCGGTTTGCCCCCCTCCCTGCTGCCGGCACTGCTGCCCAAGGACGAGCGGCATCCCACACTGGCGCTCCCGTATGCCACACATCCGGTGGCCGCCAGCGAGGACTCGTACAGACTGTTGGTCTTGTGATCCGAGGAGATGGTCAGCGTGGAGCCACTGCTCGAGAGCTGGATGCAACTGCCCGCGGATCCCGGCGCCTGGTTCTGACCCATTGCCATTCGAGTTTTACGGAAGTGGGTGATGCTCTCGTAGCAGTTGGAGCCCAGGGAAATGGCATCTGTGGGGAGGGTGGCTCCTCCGCCGGAGGAAGACGTCGGTGCCTTGCAGTGCATGGATTCGTAGCAGCCCTTGATGGTGTCGTATATGTTCTCATCCTCCTCCGACTCTTTGGGTTCCGGTTTCGGTGGAGCAGGACGCAAGGGCATGGGTGATTTGTTAAGTACTCTCTTGGGTTTAGGCAGTTCCGGCAGCTCATCGCGGGTATTCCGGCCTAAGGTTCCAGTGCCCGAGGGAGTTGTGGGTGTGAGGAGCACCTCCTCCTGAGCAAAGGACTCGTAGCCATCGTACGCCGAGGTACACGCCTCCTGGGATCCCGCAATGGATTCGTAGCCCTCCAGCCAGTTATTCGGCTTGGCTTTGGCAATGGCCGCCTCCTCCACCGTTTGATATATGTCCTCCACGATCTCCGACTTCTTGGCGTAAATCTTGAAGAGGCTGGAAGCCGGCGTTTCAGTCTTGGTTTCATTGATAACAGGTGTGATGGGTTCGTAGATGGATTCAGGTTCAAGGATCTCCCCCTCCTTCTGCAGACCCTGATCCTTTAGCTTATCTTCCTCCTCAATGACCTTCATCAGCTGCTTCTGCTCCATGATCATCTGCTCACCCTCGATGGCATTGACCAGTGTTACATTCACCGCCTGGTTGAGCAGGATTTGGTTATTGGAGATCTGCTTATTGGCTGCCTGGTAAACAAAGGAGCTGTTGGGCAGGATGCGCTGTTCGAAGTCATCGTTGGCAGCCAGGAGGAGTTCACGTTCACCATTTTCGGGTGCCGCTTCATTTAGGGGATTGAGAACCTTGAGTTTTTGGTCTAGTGCTTCCAGGGCGTCTAGGATTTTGGCATCGGCTTCCATGCAAGGCGATATCAGCAGAGGCTGTGAGGGATCTTCTAAATCTTCTGCTCGGGCCTTCACCTCCCTGGGAATATCCAAATGGAAGTCTTCTTTCCTGTTTATCTTTTGCGTGGGTGTTTCCTCTGCGAAACCCTCCTCCTTGGGAGCTTTTCCTTGGACTATATTCTCCTTGGGTAGCGATTCCTCGTCAATGGATATCTCCTCCCGGGATCTGCCTTTCGTGGGCGAAGGACTCGCTGATTTCCTACCTTTCGCGAAGGTAAACCGGAGTTTCTCGTATATGGAAGCGTACTTGTGCTTCCGCTGCTTCTGACGTAGATCCTCCTCGGCCTCCTCCTCTCCCAACATCGAATCCAGCTCATCACTGGTTCTCGGTCTGCCATTCGTCTGATTCAGTTCTTGTTGATTGCTGGAATTGCTGGGCAGTGATTCAGTTTCAGTTGTGCTTGACTTTGGTTGCTTAGCTTGCTCTGCGGAATTAGTTAGATTCGGTGTCTTTTGTTCCTCGCTGACCACCGCCAGTTCTGGAATGCCCACACTACCAGGTGGTAGCTTGAGATTTCGTTTGATTCGAGGACCCCGTGGCAGATTACTGGCCTTCATCTGCTCCAGATGTTTCCGTATCAGGTGTTCGCTTTTGATGGGTACACTAGGCTTTTCCAACCTTTCGAACTTTTTGATATTTCGCTGAACGGTGGAGATACGGTTTTCTTCGGACGTCTGTGATCCCTTTCCCTCCGCCGATGACTTCTCCACGATCTTGTAGACATGCGTGCCCCGGGATAGCCACACCCCATTGTTCCGCTTGACCTGCTCCAGAAGTCTCGCATCTTTCTGGATGATTTCGTTGAACTGGTGGGTGAGTTTGGTCACCAAACTGATGTTGCCACCACTCGAGGAATGCGAATCCATATTGGTTAGCCTACGCGTTGGATGGTGATGCTGATGGTATGACTTTCCGGCATGGGTTTTAAAGCTATATTTGCGACGTCCGCCCGATCGGCCCGTCGATGACGTCACCGTGTTGGGGGTGGCGCTGGACGAGGTGGTGGTTTGAAGCGATTCGCTACTGCCGCCACTTTGGGCGCTCGCCGCGCTGAGACTGAAACGCTCAAGACGATTACGCTCCCGTTTGGCCCGCAGTTCCACCCGCTCCTCCTCCTCCTCCTCCTGCCCCTCCTGCCCCCCATCTTTCGCAACCTTATCTACGGCTGATAAGGCTGCCATGTTATATTGTTTGGTTGGGCTGATATCGCTGCTGTCGTCACGTTTCGCACGCGTTTCGCTGGCGTTTAAAATCGCTTCGTCCGCGTTGCTCCTTAACTTGGCCTGCATTTTGGCCTGTTCGGCGTTTTTGTACTTGTAGAAATTGTCTTTATCACGCTGCAATCGCAGCTGTTTCGTATGCGAATCGTGCAGATTGTGCAGACTGGCCGCGCGTTTTGCTAGCGTTTTTTCCGGCGAGGCGCAATCGCGTGAGTTATTAAACGCGTTCACCAGACAACTAACACTCTTATTTAACTTTTTTAAAGTGCCCAGCGAGGAGGAGGACGCGGTGGCGTGACTGTGATCCTCGCTGGCACTTTTGATGCGCTTGCTCCACAGCAATCGCAGGGTTTGCACACCGCGGAAATCGCGAAATGCGCGCGATTCGCAGCTGCAATTTTGATTCGGATTTGGTTGGGTGTTCGGTTTTTGATTTGTATTTTGATTTTGAATATCTTTGTTGGCCTTATCGCACGTCGACCGATTGTTGTTGTCACTGTCACTATTCACCAGCCAATTGATAATTGTCTTTTTCGTTTTGCGCGGCGTTGTTGCTGCTGCTGTTCGTGTTGCTGTTGCTGTTGCTGCTGCATTTCCATTGAGATCACGGCCAGCGGCTTTGGCAGCCGCATCCAAGACAGGTGACATCGCCATCGCGTTGGCTTGCTCTGATCTTGGCCAGAAAGCGATCACGTTCTAGGCTATCCACGTAGCAGTCGGCCAAGAAGTTGCTGCTGCAGATGCTGCTGCTGCTGCTGCTGATGGTGATGTTGCTGTTGCCCCCGGGCCTGGAACGACAAAAACAGAGAGTGGAAGAGAAAGCTCGTGAAAATCTTGTTCATGCAAATGCTAATTGGGTGCAAGCCATTATATTTAAAGGCGTGGCTCATCGCAGCAATTATGATAAGCTGGTTTGTCTCTGGCAAAGAAAATTTCAGGGAGTACCCGATTTCGACATGGGTTTTAGTGTTAGCAAATAAAAATAAATGAACTGCCTTAAAGAGTACGCTAGACCTTATAATAATATAAATAAAATTGGAAAAAAATATATTTTACAAGAATAACATAACACATATTTAATATATTATACATAAATTTTATAATAATGGTTTTCATAATAAAAAAAAACATTTTCACAATATTTTGAGATTAACGTTGTAAAACTTAATTTATTTTTTTATTATTATTTATCATCAACTGACTTAAAAGTTTACTTTTAATAGACACCACAACAAAAAAAATAATATAACCATTACTTTAAGTTTTTTAAAGTCAAACCACAGCTGGTAATATATACTGACTCAGTTAGTCATGCAATTAGTCAAGGGTACTTTATATTTTAGAATATTTTCTTAGTTAAGATTCATATTTTTACAGTTTCATCTTTTCAAACCACAAAACATATAGAAAACACGTATCATAAAATAAAATACAGTAGAACAACAATTTTTCTAAATGTTAAAAAAATATAATTTAATGCTTTTAAAATGTATTTGTATTGTCACAATATAGCTTTTATTGTTAAAATAAATAGGTAAATGTTCAAGGAATTTTTAAAAGATATTTAAAACTCTTGTACAAGAATAAATTGAATTACAATTAAAACAAGGCTAATTAAAATTAACCGTAGTCCGATAGTTTTAGCTTATAATAGCAGTTTTAGTAATCAAAACATTTGTTCTTTTCATTGAGAAATGCCGATAAAATTACTACCCACAACGAAAAAGTCTTTGTCAAAATCGTGTAATCTGCAAAAGTATTTTAAGCCTCTTTTCGGATTTTGACTCACATTGCCGGCGCAAATCATGAATAGTCATTATTTCTTTACAATTTTCAAGGAAGCCGAAAAAAAACCAAACTTGAGCAAGCGAGAAATCAGTGCGGTGTACAGCATTGCGTATGCTTAATACGTTATGAATGCGCTGGCTTATCGCCATGCGATCGATGTTGGCTGACTATATGGCATTGCACAAAACCCAGGCCACATTATTGTCTTGCCGCCTCTTCGCACCTGACAATTGTTTACCGCCTCTCCCTCTAACCGCCCACCACCCCCCGATTTCACGTGTTTTTTTTTGTCACACACAAATGCCAATTATAATGAGCGATTACATAAAGTCGAAACAATTTCTTCTGCCTCACATGCGGTATCGTAAAATGGCTTTTAAGCTGCTTTTGGTACGTTCGCTAGCCGTTTTCATCTGCGGTTTTTTTCTGCTTCTTTTCCCTTCACACTTTACACTTTTCTGCTCTTATATATAAGTGGTAGTATATCCATATGTTTTTTCTAGTTGTCACATTGCCTCGCACGCGGCAAGAATAACAAAATTAATTTTTATTTGCCATTGCAAAAAGGTTTTTAAACAAAATATTATATACGAGCCAGCCACACACGCACGACCAAAGTAAATAAAGAGAAATAATACTGCTTATTACGCAAACGTCTTTGGCCGGCAATATGTTTTTGTATAACTCGCGTCTAAAGGAAACTGGTGGCCAAAAGTGTGTTTACATAAAATGTCTTGTTTATTCAAAATGGAATTTTATTGGCGATTATTTGTCAGTTGCAAGGCGGAAAGCAAACCAGCCGCCAAAATGGGGAATTCCAATCGAATTAATGCCACCTTGCCGCCCAGGGTAACTCTACATGTTTATATATCATATATATAAATTATTAAATAATAAATACAAAATTATTGTAAACAAATGTACAAGTAAATATGGAATTTTATATCCTTTTAAAAATAAACCAACTTAAAAAATCTAATTTATAAGAACTAGAAACCGTAATCTATTTTTACAAAAAATTTTGAAGTTTATTATTATTTATTTTTGTTATTACTTAACTTATGCCAATGGATTGTGAAAATAGAGTATAGAATAATATCTGGCTAAATAAACAATTATTTAAAGATACTTAAGAACTTCTTTTTGAAAATTTCTGTATAAATATTTTTGCAAATATATAAACCAATTTGTAATGACTATTATTTATTATTTGATTAGCAATCAGCGAGAAACGGGGAAATACCATGGAACTAATCATCCCCTAATCATTTTGCAGAGCTTTATTCAATTTGCCAAGAATTCGGTGATAAAACCTCAAATAAGCCATAAATCATTTGACTTTCGGTTTTAGCCGCCGCAGAGTGATAATTCCAATGCCTTTTATATGGAGTGGACTCTAAGGCCATTCAAGCCGAGGGGCGGTCAACCGCTTTTTGGCCTGTTCAATAAAAATGTTTTGCATATTAAGTTGCCCACAACCGAAAAGGAAAATGTAAACAATTGACAGCGAGACACTACAACAATATAAAAATCAACCTCATCTCGAGCAGAAGAAAAGACGGAATAATAAAAAAGAAACTTGATGAGCTGCAGTTTTTTAGGCTAAGCTGCAGCTGCACCTGCCATACATTTATTATGAAGATATATAAATGGTATATATCTATAGGTATGCAAATGGCTTTCAACGGATGCAGCGTTTTGTTTGATTTCTTTTTGTTTGCCTAATCACAATGAAATGGTCATAATTTCTGAGGGCGGGCGAAAGATTTTCCAGTTGGAAAACCAAAGGTATTGACAGTTGGGGTGAAAGTGATAATGCCCAGCTGACTTTGAGCCAAGAATCCGGCGATTTGACACGCAGCCAGCCAACAAATCTTCGCTTTTACATGCGAATGCGGAAGAAGATAGCAAATGAAATGAGATAGAAATATTTTAATTTCGAGAAATTAAATCAAAGGAAATTTATTGCCATTTTGCATAGTTAAAAGAAACAAAACCAGCCGCCATTAGAAATGTGAAAGTTTACTTTTCCTTTTTGTTTCTTTCGGTTGCTTTTTTTTGTTTTCAGAGCTAATGAACTGTCTTGGCCATTATTTAGAGATGCTGTTGACGTCTGATGAGGTGTTAGAAATATGTGGGATTATTCTGGGCTTACTATGTTGTTGCACAATCGGATTGGTTTTATATTTGACCGCTTTTATATCATCGCACACTGGACACAAAGACCTTAGACTGTCTGAATATTGTTGACTGGTTCGTAACTAACTAACTAACTAACCCCTTGTTTTTGTTTTGGCCGCGTTTCCGTGGTAAAATCCAACCACCAAACAGCTCTTGCAGCCCTTAGCCAACTGAAGGGTCTGTCTGGCTAGCTGGCTAGCTGCGAGCAACCCCTAAACGTTAATACACCACTGCGTATGCTTTATATGGTAAACAATGCGGATGGGTCGATAGTTTCGCCTGTCGTTCGAAGGGTAGTTCCTATTTACCACTTATGTAGCCCTCTTAAATGCTTGCATTATTCAAGCTTTGTTGCCTTTCTGGTTGAGTTTAAGTTAAATTTAATTTGCTAAATTGATGCACACAAGTGACACAATTTGTACATACATGATGAAAGCCGCTTATCAGCCCACTGATTACAGTCTGAGTCATGGGTGTAAGCTTATCGAATGGCAAATTGAGGGAAATTTGATTGACTAAATTTGTGGGCATTAAACAGATATGTGTGTACATATGGAGGAGAAAAAAACCCGCATGCAAACGAGCATTAACTGCATTCCAAGCTCCGCTGCCTCAGCGCCAAAGAACCGCAACTCTAGACTGAGTCTGCGTTTTGGCCCGGGTCTGAATCTTGGACTAGGTCTGGCTATAACCGCGTAAGGCACAGAGGCGTATAATTAGCGTGCAGCATTGGCAAAGTGAAGCTAATGGAATCAAACAACACAGAAACATGGCCACGGAACATGGCTAACCGTAATTCTGAAACCGTAAGCGGAGAATCCGACATGACATGGTAGAAGAGGTCAGTTCGGAGGCCAATTCGGCGGTGTGCGAATATGTGAAAAACACACCGACCAACTCAATGGAGTAAACAGTTAAGTCATGAATGCGTTAATATACGATTTCGTTTCATTACCAGTTGACAAAACTTAACTGCAGCCAATATAATACCAAGAAAACTCGTTAAAACGTGATTATTTTTACTTTGAACATTGCTGTTTTATTGTTGTGTTTTCAAGTAAGATTTATAGGGACTGTGAATATTTCTAGCAATATTTCAAATATGAAACAAATAAACAACCACTAAGTATTAGCTTAAGTCGAACAAAAACTAAAAGATGTTAAGCTCAAATATAACTTTGTTTTAATTACCATAAAAAACACAAGTAAACTGATTTTGTTGTATGATATATTGGTTAAAAGCCTTTAATTTTTTTTAATGAAAAAGAACAAAGAATTTAATAATCAAAGAAGTTAAAAAACAAAAACTTTTTACAAGAACAAAGAATTAAATAAACATTGGAATTTTAATACAGATTAGAGTTGCATTCATTTTAATTTCAGTTAATACAATCCAAACTAATGTTTTAGACTGCAAAACTTCGTTTTTAAAAATGTTCGTTGTTTTAATTGCCTTTTTAAAATTCGGTATATATTTTGTTAGTTCAACAGAGAAACGAACCCAAATTCTAATTTCAATTTAGTTTAATTACCATCAAAGTCAGCTTAACTCGATCTAATCCCAACGGAAATCGAAGTTTAAGTCAGGCGTTCGAAGATTTTGAGCCTGTTCTTGGTGAAATTTCGCTTCTACCGATTTGGTATGTATGTATGTGGAATTCGCCAAGTGGTTTGGCTAGATTCTTTCAAGAGCACACTAGCACCAGCAGCCACACCACGCAGATTTTCTTGTGGGCGTTTCACTTTTGCCAGCTTTCATTTCACTCTGGCCTCAAAAAATTAGCCAACTTGTTGCACTCGATATTGGCTATTGCACTGC